AATTGAACCTCAAGCAGTCTGTTGTAAGTACCACATACCCATCCTTGAGAGTTGGGGCTAGATTTGATAAACCTGAAAAATCAATCGTAAATCAGGTCGTATGTTACACAGATAGATGACGCACATCATCGGTGGAAGGTCGTCAAGATACCTGCAACAGAAAATGAATGAATGTCCAATCTCATGTAGGCCAAGCCCCCGCTAAGTGCCTCACCAGTTTGCCGGGATGCAGACGAGGCCTGTCTCCTTGCCGCGTTTCAGAGGTTGCATCCAGGATTTGGCCTTTGCAGAGTAGTCGATCTTCGTCCAGGTGTCTTCGTCCCTAAGATAATATGCCTGACAGCTAAGTATATGCGGTCAAAAGTTACCCTTTACGCGTCTGCAGCTCGGACGAACTCGTGGGCCATTCCGGAATGATCTATATCTCAACGACGTCAGACGGGAATGTACATTCACAAGGTGCAACCCACCGTATTCGATACCCTTGTCCAACAGAAGTTGAACACCTTCTTTGCTGACCTCCCACCAGGGGGCAACGCTTCCCTTATCAAAAGATAAGAGTTAATCTGGGCATTTTAGACTGACCTATCACCTTGGGAGGTATTCCGTTATTGAATGCAGTCAGAAGGTCGTACGTATGCTCCAAAATGTCCTTCTGCTGCTCCACATCAAGGGATACTGGGTTCTATATTGACGTGTCAGATCAACCTGTGTGCGTAGGCAAACAGACATTTGGGATACCTCGTGTGAATAGCCGTGCAGTCCGCTATTCACTCATTCCCAAGTCATTGATGAACGTCAAGATAAGCAGACGAGATATCGTACATCTCGTGTCCTGCGTCGCGAACGGCGGCCATTTGTTCAGAAAATGTCTCTAGGCTGTGGCCTGTTGAACTTTTTACAAAAGGCGCGTCTGTAAGTTCTATAACGCGTTACCTGGGATAAACCATGTAGTCTTGATCTTGTACTTGTCGAAGAGCTTGAGAAGGCGGAGAGAGCCAACTTCTCCAGCAAACATACCCTGTGGGAGTATCACGGGCGAGGGTAAGCTTCAGGCTACCACGACCTTTTTAACAAACGACGTTACCCTTGAAATGTCGAGTGGCGAGTCCTCTCCGCCATAAGAACCTAGCCTGTAAATGTTTGGGGTGAGCTAAGTCGCACATATGTTAAAGCACTTTAATTACCAGCCCGCTACGGCGTCAACATCGACACCAAAACTGATAAGAACGCGTTTCGCAGGCATGGAGGTGAGAGTCAAGAGTTTAGAGTTCCTGTTGGAGATAAACAACACTGATGCTGCGCTTATGTCAGCGACTAAAATTAGCACTACGTCGACACGTCGACATACGGAATTGCACACGTCCCCGCCCCACTCTCGTCAACTTTGAACACGGTCGTCGCCACTCAGGAGCACACCAACACATCGATCACCGGCCATGCCTGCGGCCTATACGCTCCCTACAAATCTGTCTCCAACGACGGTCGCAAATACTGCGTCCCTCATTCGCATAGTCGCCCTTACTCTCATCTCTGGTGCTGCTATAGCTTCACGGTTGTTTGCTGTCATTAACTTTGAGTCCATTATCCACGAATTGTACGTTGAACCAGTCAATGTGCATTCTACACTTCTGACCTCAAATTCTCTTTCACAGTGACCCATGGTTCAACTAGTGAGTGGTTTGACGTATCTGTTTATAGCGTTCGTTGAATTGTCGGTGCAAGTCGCGCGACGAGAGTTTTGGCTGCGAAGGGATTCTATGTGCGTTCGTGTCAAGTGTTTGTTGTCCGATTCTGACCTAGATGAATAGGAATTTTGGAATTGGTTCGATCCTACGGCATGGTACCCTCTCGGACGAGTCGTCGGTGGAACCGTTTACCCTGGTCTAATGGCGACCAGTGGTGTAATCTACAACCTCCTTCACGCTATCAATCTTCCTGTCGACATTAGGAACATTTGTGTCCTTCTTGCACCTGGTTTCAGCGCCCTGACAGCATGGGCAACTTACCAGTATGTTCCACATAGTCGTCGCGACTGTCACGCTCACATTTATTCCAGGTTTACCAAAGAAATGAAGGACGCTAGTGCTGGTCTTCTTGCTGCGGCCTTTATTGGTATTGTACCTGGGTACATCTCCCGTTCGGTTGCGGGATCCTACGATAACGAAGCCATTGCCATCTTCCTTCTCATGTTTACTTTCTTCTGCTGGATCAAGGCTCTTAAGCAAGGAAGTGCGCTCTATGGTACCGTCGCCGCTGTATTCTACTTCTACATGGTTGCGGCATGGGGTGAGTAGACTCGTCATTGCTTCAATCACTGGCTTGACATTATCGGACAGGCGGTTATGCTTTCATCACAAACATGATTCCTTTGCACGCACTCGTCCTCATCATCATGGGACGGTTCAGCAGCCGCCTCTATGTCGCCTATTCTTCGTGGTACGCCATAGGCACATTGGCCAGTATGCAAGTTCCTTTCGTCGGCTTCCAACCAGTGAAGACCAGCGAACATATGGCTGCTCTCGGTTCGTAAAACCTAGCCCTTGTATGGCCCCGTAGCTTACCCTTCTACAGGTGTTTTCGGTCTCCTCCAGATCGTTGCATTCACAGAACTGATTCGGTCACACATTTCCTCGCAGCAATTCAAAAGACTTCTTGTTGTTGGTGTAGCCGCTATTGGCCTTTTGGGAACGCTGGGTATCGTCGGTCTCACATATAAAGGATGGATTGCCCCCTGGACTGGTCGCTTCTACTCCCTCTGGGACACTGGTTACGCCAAAAAGTATGCGAATTCAAGAAGCCTGTCAATATCTATCTAACCTCTTTTAGGTACATCCCTATCATTGCCTCTGTCTCCGAGCATCAGCCCACGGCTTGGCCATCGTTCTTCATGGACCTTCAGTTCCTCATCTTCCTCTTCCCGGCCGGCGTCATCCTGTGCTTCCGCGAACTTCGCGACGAACACATTTTCGTCATCATCTACGCTGGTGTAGCAAGCTACTTTGCCGGAGTCATGGTCCGTCTGATGCTCACACTCACCCCCGTGGTCTGCGTTTCCTCCGCTGTCGCACTCTCCACACTCCTCGACACCTTCATTGACCCCAGAGAGCCCGACACCGCCGAGGAGGTCGTGCCCACCGCAGTTGCGCCCACCAATGGTTCCGCCCCCTTGGGCTCCTCAACTGCCGTCGCGTCGTCAAAGAAGGCTAAGAAGGCCGCAGCTGCAGCCGAGCCCGACAACGTCATCACCCAGATCCTCGCGCCCACTTCATCCAAGAAAGAGGGCTCGACGAGGAACCATGGTATCTTCGGCCTCGACACGCGCATCATGGTCGTCTTCAACACCATCCTCATGCTTGCATTCTTCGTGTCGCACTGTACCTGGGTCACTTCGTCCGCGTACTCGTCCCCGTCTGTCGTGCTTGCATCCCAGAACCAGGATGGCAGCCAGCACATCATTGATGATTTCCGTGAGGCGTACTACTGGCTGCGCCAGAACACCCCGGAGGACGCTGTCGTCATGAGCTGGTGGGATTATGGATACCAGATTGCCGGCATGGCCGATCGCCCCACGCTCGTCGACAACAACACCTGGAACAATAGTGTGTTATTTCTTTTCTCTGGTCTTCACTAATCTAACTTCGCCCAGCCCACATTGCTACCGTTGGAAAGGCGATGTCAAGCTCAGAAGAGGTCGCGTACCCCATCCTGCGGAAGCACGATGTCTCCTACGTGCTCGTCATCTTCGGCGGGCTCATCGGGTACTCGGGCGACGACATCAACAAGTTCCTGTGGATGATCCGTATCGCGCAGGGTGTGTGGCCCGAGGAGGTGCAGGAGCCCGCGTTCTTCACGCCGCAAGGCGAGTACAAGATCGATGATATGGCTTCGCCTACCATGAGGAACAGCCTTATGTACAAGATGTCCTACTATCGGTGCGTGTTCGTGCTGTGACATTTGTGGCGAGATTGGCTTACGCGTTTCTGTAGCTTTGCTGACCTGTACGGCGGGGGCCCGGCCCAGGATCGCGTGCGGAACCAGCAGGTCCCCAAGGTCGGACCGACGCTGGATTGCCTTGATGAGGCGTTTACATCAGAGAACTGGATCGTACGTCCTCCACCGCTGCATAGTACACCTGCGGTTTTCATCTGACTTTTTGTGTTCTAGGTCCGAATCTACGAGGTCAAGAAGGAGGATCCATTGGGCCGTGACTTAAAAACTGCCAATGCGTTTGCTCAGGGGAAGAAACGCAAGCGTAGCAAGCCCGTCTCCAGGCGCCGCGCTATACTGTGATTGTAATCTTAGTTTGAGAATCTGAAAAAGAATAGACATCGCGCTCTGGACCTAGATATCGGGGCATTGTAAGACGATATTTTGCGGTAGAGAACATGACCCATCGATCGGGGATGTTCGAACTAAACTTGCGATGATATCAACCCTTGTTTTAACTTGGTTACATCGCTTGTCGACGTTCTTTGGCACACTGCGCTAGGCTCTGTCGAATCATACTAACAGGCCATTAAACCTTCAGAACCACCAAGACTTAGAAACAGTTCGTGCAACCTGATAGTGTACTATCGCGTTAGAGCTATGTCATGGTTCGTCGAATCATACTACTAGACCATTCAGAACAACCTTGAAAAAAAGCCACTGCAACCCAATCGTAGGCTGCTCAATTCTAAGTCAGTTGGGCCTCGTCGGGGGCGATATGTATATATAGCTTGGTAAACTCCCTGAACTGAGAATCGCAGACAATTCACTGGCTGAAATTCAAAATCGCTCGTAACGCCATAGCACTTTTTCACGACGTCACCATTCAACGCAACATATTTTTCCATCGACATTTTTGATATTTTCGGAACTTCCAGCTTCCGATAAAGTGTATCTTCTGCCGCCGCAACGTCGCTTCATCCTCTGTAACTCCTCCTTCTCCCTGGCGATTTGGAATTTATGAAGTTAGATGTGCCCCTCGGATAGTAGCACGATCTTTCTTTCTGCAAGGCTTAATGGTCTAGTAGTATGATTCCTCCTTCGGGCTTAACACCCATCAGATGCTGGTCTGATATGAATGGAGGAGGTCCTGGGTTCAATTCCCAGTTAAGCCCTTTTTGCTCTTATGATAAGCATTTTACACTTTTTCAAACTTCTACACCATCCTCTTGTTAACCAAGCTTGTGTCTCTGGCTAGTATACAGGCAAAGTAGTACTTACTAAGATGCAGCAGCATCAGTCAGTAGGGTGAGCCACTGAACCAACCACACAGATCAGATGAGAACGTTCTATTTATCTTGTTGATAGACTGTAATTGGGGAAGGAAGGCTCCGCAAGCGGCTGCGGAGATGCCTGTGCTCAACTCAGATGGAATGTGTCAATGTTGGTGGCCCAGAGAGGGTAATTGTTGTGGGTGACAGATTGTGCTCATCACAACGCCATCATGCTCTCTCAAAAAAAAGGGAAACGTCAAAGAGGGCATTGAAAGCCAGGCCACGGAGGTGCATGCAACCACTCAGTAGGGAGTGTATCATCAAGTGTAATATTCTTGCGGAAGTTACGATTTGAGGCCGATGGCAGCGTAAGCCTGGAACTCAAAATCCAGTCATTTCCGGTAGGCGTCAGGGCGGTGTGTGACAAGCTGTCTGACAGTACCGGCAATGAAGAAATACTGTATGTAGAGGGTAAGGATCCCGCACTCAAGGTTGAGTGACGGAATAACCACATCAAGCCCGATACAGAAGTTTTGCGCGAAGCCGCTGGAGGTTGGAACACTTGACTCCATCAAGCGCTAGCTGTGATGCCAGCTGTTCTTGTATAGGTTGAGATGATCCATAAGGTGAAAGCGCGCTTTTGAAAGGCAGCAGTCTCTGCAGTTATGTAGTTGGAATTGCAACGTCCCTAATACCCTCAACATTACCCCAGCATGCATTTGTTCAAACACATAACGAGTCGGGGTGGGTATGGGGACTTGAATTAGAGCGGGGAGCTTTAAGATAGTATCAAAAAAAAATTGCCGCGCATTGGGAGTGTTGTGTGGGCAGCTGGTGAACATAAGAGTGGAGGCCAACAGCCTGATTCGGAAGACAAGTAGACTTTGCTTACCTAAGGATAGATGACGTCCGGAAAGTCATCAGCAACTTGTTCTCACCTCAGATTATGGAAGCTAAAAAAGATTAGAATCCGATGAATGATCTCTTAGAAGGGAAAGGTAGGTCATGTCCTATATTTAATCACTGTCCTACGGAGTCCCTCACTGGCATTAAACTTGCAGTCGAACTTGACCCCACCGCCGACTTCATTGCTGGGACAGTAGCCGTAAGTGATTTCATCTCCCACTTACTTACTCTTTGATTAACTGGCTGCAGGGTATCAGTGGTCTAGTGGTAGGCTTTCCGTTGGACACTGGTGCGTCTGACTCTGATCTCTTCCAGCAGGGATGACAGTTCGTTGTGTTCCGTGTCGCTCACCAGCTGCATCTGCACTCTAGTAAAAGTGCGCCTTCAGAACCCACATACCGCCATCAAATATCACACGACAATCCACGCGATATCCACCATCATACGTGAAGAGAAGCTGGTTGGGTTATACAAGGGGATCACCTCACCACTGGTGCCTAATCTCACATTGATCTTTCCCAATCCTTGAGGAACTAACTCCTCTCTTCTTCTCAGGCATCCAGCGCCCTCATGAATGGCCTCGTCTTCGCCTCGTACCGATTCTTTATGAGATTACAGTTAAATTACAGCGACGCTACTCCCACACTTACTCAGATCACACTTGCAGGCATCGGGACCGGCATAGTATCCTCGTAAGCCCTCCTTTCATGAACTGTGTTGCGCGTTTCTAAGCCTATCCACGCGACCTTCAGCTTCTTGACGACACCCATAGAATTAATCAAGATTAGACAGCAAAATTGCCTTAAAAGTTCAACCTCCGTGTACCAAACTGCCCTTCGGATTTTCAGGACCTCTGGTGTCCCTGGTCTTTACCGGGGACTGACTGCCACCGCTCTGAGAGATACAGGCTATGGGGCTTATTTCCTAGCTGTACGTTGGCTGCTGCTTAGTTTGATCCTCAACTACACCGACTTGGCAGTATGAAACGACTTGTCGTGCTCTTTCGCCTTCTCGTGACGATGGCTCTCCGAACAGACAAACAGGCCCCCCTTGGCTGCCAATGCTTGTTGCCGGCGGAGCCGCTGGAGTCTGTGAGGGTTTTATCTTATGCCGTCCCTAACCTCAACCTCACATATTTTCTGCTAGTTGGATGGGTTGCGACATTCCCATTTGATGTTGTCAAAACTCGCATTCAAAGCACCGAACATGACACCACACGATCGTCCTTCAGTGGCGCCCTGCGGCTCACAGCGTCGTCGACGCATAGGCCCGACTCTCTCAGCATCGCAGCTTCCAACCCCTACCGAAATACATTGTCCACCATAGTAAACTCTTATCGCGCAGAGGGTGTTGGCGTATTCTTTCGAGGCCTCTCTCCTACTCTACTTCGGCAAGTCTTCTTGGCTTCTACATTATGACGGCAAATTTGAATATATATATTCTCTACCTCAGAGCTATCCCGGTCAACATGGTGACTTTTGCTACGTTCGAGGCCACCGTCCACGCTATACTGTAAACATTCCCGAGGTCCAACGTCCTCCTGTTTGTCGTGATCATGAACGTTTAGAAGGGGACATTTGCAGTCGCAGGGGTAGTGGCATACATATCAAAGGATAGATGGCATAGTGCATTAATTACACCAAACATGCTCTTTATAATATTCATAATTGGAGATGCCTTTCTGTGAAGCTGAGTGAGCGTTTTCACAGAAACGAGGATGCGAATACAAACTCTCCGCGCACGGAATCGAGCGGCATTCTCGTGTTACCCCTACTCCGCCACTCGGTCCATTTCAAATTCCGACACTGTACATACTACCTTATCTTCCATTTGTCCTCCATACAGATTAGTCTGCCTCGCGATAGATCGCCCCCGGATCAAAACTGCCAGTCGCGCTTGCGAACAGACTCTGACTCCGTGCTTTAAAGTCAAACTTTCCGGCTGGACATTTGTAAGTACCTTCAGCACGAAGCAACGTACACATCCATAACATTATTTTTGCCAACCTTGCCAGGTATAAACCCCTAACCATCAATAACAATTCATTAGACACAAAATAATTTCGCCGTTCAGTGACCTGTGCGTCCACTCCAGCCTTGCGGAACTTTGTTGAATTGACTGACGCCTTGTGAAGTCAGGCCTCTTGACCCTGTGGTCGCCTTGCTTGCAGGGTCTATAGCGGTATGTAGACGGCCCAATGGTTAAACCCTCTAATACCTAAAGCAGAGGACCGCCGCGATAGTTGTAGGATTTCCCTGGGCCGCCGGTACGTGGTAGTAGTAGATGTTGTGCCTTCACTTACCTTTTGGACGTTTTCAAGAATCCAGAGACCGCCTTCAAGTACGGAACAACAACCCATGCTATCGATACGATAATACACGGAAGAGAAATTTATCGGTTTGTTGAAGGGCCCGATAACATCACCATTAGTATATTTCACTTTTGTATCTGAAACAGTGGCATAGCTATTGACCCTATTATGCTATTATGAAGGTTACGAGCGCCTTCATGAACGGCCCACTAGCTTTGGATTATTCTATTGAGAAACCCGGTTCTTGTTAATAACCCCCCATAAATGATGTAACCCTATTGCGATCAAAAGAGTTTGGAGGGTTTCTGTTCGGCGACCCGGCCGGTATTTCGGAATACATATAAGGCAATTTCAGTG